TACGAATTTGGGTCAAAAAAGGTGATTTAAATTTTTATACGTTGATCTTTTACGAATTGAATATGTCCGTAAAAATTCAAAACATCAGACGTAAAATTCCAGATCACATTGAATGCATTTACGTGTACAAATAACGTGTCCAAAAACGCTATGTAACTTGTAAGAGAGAGAAAGAAAGAGAGAGTGAGAGAGTTATTAAACACATGTTAATTTGATATAACAATATAAACAATGCAAACAAATTACATAATGAATTGTATATAGGCGCATTTCCAGAATTTTTTTCCAGGGGGGGGGGGTCCACCTCAGTCAAAAAAAAAATCCTATCCCGGATATTTCTTGACAAGCAAAAAAAAAAATAAATAAATAAACGTAAAGTAACACTCCCCCTAACGTCAAAAACCTATTTCGTAAGGGGGGGGGGGGGGGTTAGTTGTGACTTCTTCTCTTCTTTTGCCTCAAATCTTTAACTTTTCATACCCATTTTACACATATAGTCCAGGGGAGTCTGCATTTTCCAAGGGGGGTCCATGGTAACTTTTTCCTTGTTTTAGTATGTACATTTTTAACCTGGTAAATTCCAGGGGGGGGGGGGGGGTCCGGACCCCCCGACCCCCCTCTAGATCCGCGCATGGTATAATTTTTTTAAATAACCTTTATATACATGAGCAATGTGCCCTTCATTTATTCATGTTTTTTTTATAAACATAGCTAAGCACACGTGCATGTCTGGTATATTTACCGAAAACAAAGAGCACAACTCAAACTAACATAATTGAAGTGAAAGTATTTAATTAAGTACATCGTATTAAGAGGTCGAAGTTTTATTCAAAGCATATGAAGCAGAAGAAAGTGTCCAAGATTGAAAACACGGGTATACATTTAATTGGAAGAGCTGTAATTATTAAGTCATTATCAGAAGTTATGCGTCTCTAAAAAATACTAAAAAAGAGTAACCAGGTAGGTCTAACTTATAAATTAATTGACAATGTTTGTATAATTTATATACAAGTTAATTGAGATTTACCTGTATGATCCCAATTGATGATTGGCTTAAAAGTGTTCAAAATACTAACAGTATACTAATTATATAACCTCCATGGAGTGAGCTTAGTAGCAATAAGCATTACTTTTACACATACCATGTTAAAAAATTATACGAGCCGTTTTATAAATTATGTGAAATTTTACACGTTTAAATTTTACGGATTTATAAACCTAAAAAAAAATACCCGTCATTCAGTAATTTGAAAAAGGCGACATGATTTCAAAGCCAATTTCCACTGTTGGAGTACACGATGTTTTTAACATTCGACATGCCTGCGGCTCTCTGTGGCCACGCACGTTAAAAAAATAATGGAGAAACAAAAGAGTGATGGTAAAAATAAAACGTACATATAGTACATTACCTATCTCAAGACTTCCGTCACTAATTATAATTATTTGCCGAAGCCCCTTTTCAATTACAATTTTGATAACATACATTAACACGGAATAGAGAAATAATTTTGCGTGAACAGGCCAAAGAAAGTTATCAAAATTCAAAATGATTTTATGCACCAGTGTTAGGAATTGCGATTTAATGTAAGATCGGTGACGTATTCTTATTGATTCGATTAATTAAAAACACAATTTTCTATTAATTGATAGGTCTTTGTACACAATGGATTTTAATCACGATCACAGACACTTGCTTTGTTTACGACAACAGGTGGCTGGTACACAAGTGACCCCGATCGGCAGCGTGGGATTGGCGCGTTTGATTACACAACTGTTACAAACATCTAGGCTGGCGAACATGGAGATCAACTAAATGATCGTGAATTATTCGATTAATAAAGCTTACAATTACTTATAATTATATTTAACGTAGAAAGATAGATTTAATATATTCCGATGAAGACGTGTTCACTATAAAACTAATTAATAATACATAAAAAAGAAAAACTAATTGTTATATAAATAATTTAATAATGAACCGTAAAGCATGTATAAAGACCTTTTTAGTAGAAATTTAACATTAAATACCATAGGGTATATTATTGATAGGAAGTTTGTGTAAATTATACACATGAAGAGGTCTAATTTTCTTTCCGATTGAAAAACGCTACCTGTTTACCTGGCCTGCTTTCTACTTCGTGTTACGCAATATCCCCGGTATATTCGAACAAATAAACATTCTCATCAGATCAAAAAGGTGTCAAAGAACAATTTTGTTCGTATAATTCAGATCGAAATATTTACCGTTTTTGAGTTATAAAGCAAAAACTTTCAAGCTCCCTAAATCCCTAATCATAGGGGCCAGCCCCTTTTGAATAGTATTAAATGAAAGCCCTTGCAATTATGCACAACTTTTGTTCAACATGTCTTAACAAAATATTTTTAGTTTTCAAGATAAAAAGGAAAATATGTGTAAATTTTCGCTCTTTTAGGCATTCTATTTTTTGACCCCTATATAGCGCCATTTTGAATACAGAAATCGAAAAACAAAAACCGATGTGCACAACTTCAATCCTTCTGTTATCTAAAAGCAGTAAAATTTCTGCTCCAGCTCTAGTGGTCTCTGAGCCTTTGTCTGGAAATGAAAGCCTATAATTTTTCGTTTAAAGGGAAATAACTCAAAACCGGAAGTGAATTTTTGAAATTTTAGACAATATTCTGAAAGAGTTTATTACCGTCTATAATGTCTGAAAATTTGAGCAAAATCCATTGAGAAATGAGTGAGATATGAGGCCTCAAAGTTGGCGTCTAGGAAGAAAACAAAAAAAAGAATAATAAGAACTAGAGCAAAGCTCGTTGCAAAGCAACGAGTAGGTCTTCCCTCCTGTTTGACCGGAAGTAGCTTTCATTTTAACTAAAGATGAGAAATAACGCCCAAAAATGCTTTGAATCCTCCAAAGCTATGTTAATTAATGCAAAAATAAGCCATTTTTTTGCCTACTTCGGGTTTGACCGGAAGTGACGACGAGCATAAAAATTATTTTTAAGCTCCCAGAGATATATGTTACCCCAAAACTTGTCAAAAACGGCAAAAATACGCGTTTTCCGACTACTTCCGGTTTGACCGGAAGTGACGACGCTGGACGTATTTTGACGACTCCATTAGATTATGCTTGACATTTTCAACAACTTTGCTTCTTTGATGTATAACAAATTCTCAATACATTTTGAGATAACTGGAAAAAACTTTTGGCCCCTCTAGATCCCTTAATTTAGGAGTCAGCCCTTTTTCCGACATATCATTTGGAAGATCTTCTAATTTTGCACAAATTATTTTCTATATATCTTAACAAAATATTTTTAGTTTGGAAGATAAAAAGCAAAATGAGTACTTTTTGGTTCTTTTAAGCTTTCGAATTTTTGACCCCTATATAGCGCCATTTTGAATAGAGAAATCGAAAAAACGAAAACCGATGTGCACAACTTCAATCCTTCTGTTATCTAAAATCAGTAGAATTTCTGCTCCAGCTTAAGCCGTCTCTGAGCCTTTGTCTGGAAACGAAAGCCTATAAATTTTCGTTTAAAGGGAAATAACTCAAAACCGGAAGTGACTTTTTGAAATTTTAGTCAGCATTCTGATAGAGTTTATAAACGTCTATAATCTCTGAAAATTTGAGCGAAATCCGTTGAGAAATGAGTGAGATATGAGGCCTCAAAGTTGCGGTCTAGGAAGCAGAAGAAAAAAAAAGAATAACTAGAGCAAAGCTCGTTGCAAAGCAACGAGTGGGTCTTCCTTCCTAGCGATAAGCAAAAGATTAAATGTTTCTGTCTAGATTGTCAACTTTGCTAACATTCTCTTTTTCAATTTCTCTCAGAAACCCTTACTTGAATTCTTTAATTTGGTGTGAGCATGAGGTCTAAAAGGTACTCTCTCTAACAGCATTCTTGAAATCGTATCCACAACAGTTTAACTTCCAATATTATGACTTTTGATATCGGATATATCATGTTTGTTGCAATTATGTTTGTGAAACGTGTCATACTACAGAAACATAAGTGTTTTGCTACATTACCATCTTAAAAATGGCTTTAAAATCATTTAATATACAATATAACCAGGTAAATAAAATAAACAAATTATATAATAATTCAAAAAATCCAAATGTATTTACAATAATGATGAACAATCTTCATTAGTTGCAATCAGTAAGTAGAACAATACTTTTATAATAAACGCACAGAAATGTGTTGTGTATGTTTCGAATTTGCAGCTTTCCACTAGCAACTGGTGGTACCTCAATAGGAGTGTAAAATTCTCTGAACGGTATATTGTAAACATATTACATATGGCTGTGTATTCTTTTTTAGCGGCTTTGGCGGAATGCAGCAATCACTAAATCAAGTACAAAGCTAAAAGTCTTGTACATAAACATAAATAAGAATATCTATGCTAACTTATTCAAAAGTCAATTTCCACCAAATATTGTACAAGCTAAATATAATACATTTACAGCATTAAAGAAACAAATCTCTTTGAAGGTATTGCCCTGCATAAGAACAATTTGAATACCCTACACTAAGGATGCTCTGTGCCAAGTTTCACTTTGGTTCCGGAAAATGATATTGTGAAATTTTAGACAATGATGATAATGGATAAAATTATGTTTTTAAAAAATTTACTGGTTCCTTTAGCTCAGATGGGCTAATAAGTATGCAACAGGCACAGTTTTGCAATTGACATTGAAATGCGACTGGACATCTCTTCAATCTTGTTTTAGAAAACTACATGTACATGCCCTATGTACGGAATTCCTTGGAATCATACACATGTTTATACCTTTAATTAGTTGTATGTGCCAAAATAACAATTTTTTTTACATTATACTGTAAAAAATACACATACATGTATTACAAGATCTTCTATTCCTGCTGAAGACAGAGGATCTATCTTAATCATTAGAATAAGTAAGTCTAAACTTTGAAAGGGAAGACCTTATTAAAGAGGTCAATATGCTACACAAACAAAATATTATTATATTTAAAAATAATTTATTCCAATGTAATTACTGGTACATGTATTTCTGTTACAAAAACTATTTCACTTGAAAAACTGAGAGCAATTGATATGTTCATATTTGTGGATTTATGTTGTCAAATCAAAATTTAAAAATGATACACAGTGTGTTTAAAAATTGTCTTCACAAACCAAAACTTGACTTATTTTCACTATGCTGTTTATTCCATGTCACATCCAAACAGATGATCTTCTGGCAAATCATGGTCATGCTTGGTATCAAAATTCAGTCTTCAGATGAGTCACACCTATCCAAAAGAAATTGAAATTTTTTAATCTATAATTCTTTTACTAAAAAAAAAGTGCAATTCATGAGATTATAAATCATATTATCAAATTGAGAGATAAGATATTGTCACATTTTCTGTGTATAATTTGTAAATTTTAATGTACTCTTTCATCAATTAAAAGAAGTTTACACCAATTAAGGCAGTCATTTATGCTATTCCCTAATAAGACAACATACAAGTGCAAAGTATTCATGCACTAGTGGGTTTAGGATAATGTGCTAGAGTATTTATGACAACATACTAGCACGAGGTGACAATGTGCTAGCATGTACGTCAGTGATAATATGCCAGCACACTGAATCCAACATGCAGTGAAGCTAACACTCAACAGATTGTTTAAAGTTGTGTTTGCATGATATTTTGTTTTGTGTTAACACAGCAGCGTGTTGTTTAAAGCTGCATTGGAGTGGCAGTCTGTTGAAATTAACATGCTAACACACTGCAACTTCACATCATTGGAACACCATAATTTTAAAACTGACAAACCAATATCTTATGATTACTAACTAGGTAATTGCAACTGTAAATGCTGATTTCATGGTGACAATAATACCGGTAATTCACTGTATATCTGAGAACTGATCAATTATAATAAGGCGTGTCCAGATAGGGCCACTTGCTAAAGCTCAATAGCACTTTCATAAAAGCGTGCCATCTTACCGACACAAAAGACGCCATTAGGCTATCACACAGCTCGCCATCACAACACTGAAAAACACTTTCGCACTAACACAAGTTCGCACCACACGCTGTCACACTAACACACAACACACTGTCACGCTAATACAATTTCACACAACAAAATATCAGGCTAACACAAGTTCACACAACACACTATCATGCTAACACGAATTCACAAACACGCTGTCTCGCTAACACAAGTTCACACAACACGTTGTCTCGCTAACACAAGTTTTACACAACACGCAGTCTCGCTAATACGAGTTCATAAAACACACTGTCTAGCTAACACAAGTACACGCAACACACTGTCACGCTTAGATGAATTCACACAACACACTGTCACGCTAACATGAGTTTACACAACACGCAGTCTCACTAACACGCATTTACACAATACACTGTCACGCTAACACGAGTTTACACAATACACTGTCACGCTAACACAAAGTCACAAAACAGGCTGTCTCACTATTAACTAACACAAGTTTGCACCAAATGCTGTTGCGATAACACACTGTCATCCTAATACCATTTCACACAACACACTGTCATTCTAATACCATTTCACACAACACACTGTCAGGCTAACACGAGTTCACACAACACACTGTCACGCTAACACGATTTCTCAAAACAGGCTGTCTCACTATTCACTAACACAAGTTAGCACCAAACGCTGTTGCGATAACACACTGTCATCCTAATACCATTTCACACAACACACTGTCATCCTAATACCATTTCACACAACACACTGTCAGGCTAACACGAGTTCACACAACACACTGTCACGCTAACACAAATTCAAAAAACATGCAATATCGCTAACACGAGTTCACATAACACGCAGTCTGGCTAACACGAGTTCACACAAAATGCAATCTTGCTAACACGAGTTCACACAACACACTATCTCTCTAACACCAGTTCACAAGACAAATTTTCAGGATAACAAGTTCACACAACACACTGTCACGCTAACAAGAATTCACACAACATGCTGTCTCGTTAATAAGAATACACACAACACGCTGTCTCGCTAACATGAGTTTACACAACACGCAGTTTCGCTTACACGAGTTTACACAACACGCAGTATCACTAACACCAGTTTACACAACACGAAGTCTCGCTAATACGAGTTCAATCAACACTCTGTCTAGCTAACACGAGTTTACACAACACACTGTCACACTTACACTTTATACACGATTTCACACAACACGCTGTCCTGCTAACATGAGTTTACGCAACACATTGTCAAGCTCACAAGAATTCACACAACCCACTGTCAGGCTAACACAATTAAGTTCACAAAACACACTGCCTTGCTTACACAAATTCATACAACACACTGTCTCGCTAACACAAGTTCACACAACACACTCACATTGCTGAGTTTAAAGTAAAGGTCTACTCTAATTTGAAGAGGTTTAAAACTAACATATCTCTATATTAGTAAAAAGCTTCAAATTTAAGACAAAAACATTTATGCAGTTATGTTCCTTAACATGCATCTGGCATATAAAATGAATGAGACCTTGAAAACCTCACAGTACATGTTTACTTAGCTAATTAAAGGTCTAAATTGATGCTATTCAATAATATATATCAACATCTCTAAGTATGTGAATGAGTGAAACTCTCAAATAAATATTATAAATCAAAGTATCAATAAGAAGCTGAACCTTACGTCGCAGGTTCCAATCCCATTGCTAAATGCTTTAGACAGGTTACTCCTATGAGACTGCATAAACCAAGATTCTGTGTCACGGTAGGTGTTAGCACAAAATGGATCTCGTACTTCTTAAAGGCAATAAGTGCTGAGTACAAGTCTATATTTGCAGCTAATACCATCCCAAGTGGTGGCACCATGAAATGACTGAAAAATGTATGATTAAGGCAAATAAACAAACATTAAACCACTACAGCAGTCTTATCAAACAAAAAAAGCAAACTTTCTATTATTACAATTTTTTAAAACAAATTTCTTTTGCAATTTAACTGAGCAATATTTGTCCTTTTTTGTCAGTAAAGTATGATATTAAATAATTAAGACTTTTTGAGAACATCTATTTATAGCGAGTCCAGACAGCAGCACAAATCCCTGCCCATAATGCGAGCTCTTATGATAACACCTTGGCAAAAGAAGATTGTGACTTGCACATTGCTCCACACAATTTTTCCGCAGTATACTTTGGACACACAGTGCTTAGCTTCTTTAACATGTTTAAGCTACATTCAAAATTCATTTCCATTTAATTTGAATTAGCTATCCTTACTCATGTTCACATGGAGCCAATGGGAAGTAATTTAACGAGCAGTTAATTCATTCGAATTAAACATTTGAATAAACTCTCAGTGTGAACATTGAGCATGGATGCACCAAATGTCAAATGCGGCTTGACAAGCACAATCTAAATTAAAACTTAATAAGTATCTGCCCTCACCCTTACAGTCACACTGTCAATATATAATTAGTTGAATATATTCTGTAACATTAAGTGCAGTTTGAATTATAGAGTATGATCACTATGATAGATAGTAGGACTGTTGAAATTACATCCTCAAATTAAAAAGAAATAAAATATAAAGCTGTGGGGATTTACAAGGCAAACAGAGAGCGTCTGAACTGTAAAACAGATAATATATCGGTGTGTCTGTGTATTTCTAATAACATCAATGTACGTCACTGTCATGTAATCAGTAGTGTAAATTTTAAGTAATAAAAATATTCTAACCTTCATTCCAATGGTCCAAGCCAATCATACATTAAAATGTCGCCGTCAGCTCTTTCACCACTCGATACAATTATCACTGGGGAATCCGAAGCAGAGTCAAGAGTGTTTATCCTTGTTAATGTGACAGTCAGCATTTCCTCGTAAACAATTCACACAAGATTCTTAGAATATATGAATCGGGATAATTCTGCTTAGAATAATGTTCCAGAGAAGTGACAAAGTACTTCGTAGCTCCAGATTAAATGAGTGTGCATGTCTACAAACGGATTCTTTGTGAGAAAATGTTCAACTTCACAAATCATTCTATTTTCAGTTTGTAAACCATGACAAACATGTGTCCGACGTCGACTCGAAGGGGCACACTAAAAACGGGATATACTAGAGACCTGATATTTACCTGACGTTTTAATTTTTAATTAAATGGTAATATTGAGTATTTTAAATTACTTATGTACAGACTTTATGACTTCGAGGCATATGCTATACAAAAATTCAATTGTTCTGAACATTTACAGACAAATTTGAATCAGGTCAAATAAATGTTTAGTACATCGCGTCTTTAGTACCTTCCTATTTCCCACAATGCCGCGCGTTGTTTACAAACAAGCGCGAAAAAAAATCCTCTAAACTAGGTACTAATTATTGTTGTGTACATCATCACATTTTAAAATTATTTGAATATAAAGAAAACAAAGAAACACCGATTCAAAACTGTTTCTTTTAGATGCATCAACTAGGCCTAAAAATGTGCACATGTATGCAGTAAAGGCTTGGCTGGCTATAGTAGACAACTTGTTCCTGAAAGGTTTCTCACATACATGTACTTGTTTTATATAAAAACAATTAAATATAGCTGGAAGTTTATTTCTTTTTATATCAAATGACAAGATTTTATAAGTTCGAAATTATTTCAGTCAAACTTTTTCATAATATACCAATATTTTTAGCTATCAGAAAAAACGTGTATGAGCTATTAACCCCTAATTATAGGGGCCAGCCCCTTTTCATTAATCTAATATGAAAGCTCTCGTAATTACCCACAACTTTTGTGATATATTTCTTACCAAATTATTCTCGGTTTAAAAGTTATTACACAAAAAGTAGCAAAAATTCAAAGAAAAAAAATTACTAAAATTTGCCGTTTTATAGCTTCCAAAATTTAGGAAATCAGTTTATAATTTTATCGTTCTGCACATCTACAATGTATTGGCTACAAGTTCTCCAACTTTCGTGTAAATATCTTACGTCGTTCTTGAGATTTTTAGTGGAAACGAGACATCAAAATTTTCAATTAAAGGGCAATAACTCACAATTAAAGGCATGCATCAAAAAAATGAAAACAGGTGTAAATAGGTTTAATTACAAGGTATCTAACCTGAAAGTTTCATAAAAATCAGTCCAAAGGTTTTTGAGAAATCGCCTGTCAAAAATCGAGCGGGAAAAAAAAAAAAAAAATAATAAGAAACAGTAGAATAACAGTAGGGTCTTCCGAAGGAAGCGGAAGACCCTAATAATCTTAATCTTCAGAATCAGTAGAAGGTCTTCCGTTGGAAACGGAAGACCTTAATTAGCATAAGTTTGAAAATTCATTCACTTTAAATAATATATTGCGATGCGAGATTTATGGTCCTTAAAGTGTAAACAGAAAAACAATTTTCATTTTTGTTTTAGCTTTTTTTTTTTTTTTTTTTAAAAAGTTTCATCAGTTTACCTTTTTTATTGGTAGGTAATGGATGTGAAGGATAGCCTACAAAGTGAAGAGGACTTATCTATTGGAGTGACGCTACTTACCGAGTCCGACTGCACACAGTTCTCACAAGGCCTTCAGCTTAATCAGGGTCAGAAGGAAGCTTGGACAATGGCTGGCTACAAGGCAGGGACAAGATTTAGTATCGAGCTCAGCGCGGCAGCCAGCTCTACCCTGGAAACAGAACTGGAGGGGATCCAAGAACTTCACTCAGTGGAGCCAGAAAACAAATGTATGAACATCACTTACCTTTTATTAGAGCTGTTCTTTTTGAAAATTATATGTTTATTTTCTATTCTTTGCTTATTCCTGAGATTAGTGTGAAGCACAAGTCAAGGAGGAATACTGTAAACGTATTACATTTGGCGTTGTATTCTTTTAAACGCTTTTGGCGGAAAGATACTTCCGCTAATTCAAGTACATTGCTAAATGTCTTAAACATTGATACATGAATAAGAACATCTAGAGATGCGCTAAATCAAATCTATGCTAACTTGTTTAAAAATCATTTTCCGCTAAATATCCTACACGTCAAATATAATACAGTGTGCTGACAAGAACAAGTGACAACTCATACTTTATATTTTTTTCCACAGGGGTGCTTTTGACCTTGGTGTACCTGATGAAGGCCATTGATCCTGTGCATGAGAGGTTTGAGGAAGGCATCAATGAGGCTATAAATAAACTCAGTGCTGTAGACACCAAGAGGAGGGCATTTTACTGGGATTTAAGTAAGCTTTCTACATCTAGATAAAATATATCCTCTGTGATCTTTTCATAGAATGCCTTTATCAGTCAACTTATTTTTAAATTTAATATAATTATGCTCATGATTTGTAAAACCTCTGTCTCTAAAGGTTACTGTATACAGGGTTATTTTTGCCCCTTCACACTTGAAAACAATTTTGTTCCATTTTAAATTCGCCCAATCACAGTTTGTGTAAGAAATCATACTGTATTCTTTGAATTTACCCCCCTTTTAAATTCGCCTAAAAGGAGGATAGGGCGAAGAGGGGCAAAAATAAAAGGGGGCAAAAATTTCCCTTAATGCAGTATTTATTTTTATTGGTCTATCACCTTATTTTATAGAGAGCAAGTTTATGATTGAGAAGATTCTGGATGTTCAGGATGTAAACACCCGTGAGATGACCTTGACTGGCCTTGACCTGACTGTTCTGTGTCACACAGAGTGGATGGTACTAATCCAGGAACTGGACATTTCACAGAACCAGTTATCTAACCTTAGACCCCTGAGTAACCTCCCCTGTCTAAAGATACTCATAGCCAATAATAACAAAATAGAGGATGTAGAGAGCCTCCAACATTGTAAACAACTTAAAACACTTCATCTACAGAAAAATGGTAAATAAAAACAGTGTTTGATCGATGTGGTTTTGAATCTGAATTGAATATTACATGTAATTCATTCACTTTACTGTCTTTATTGAGAGTTCTCTCCCTTTGTTTCAGCCCTACAGACAGTACAAGTTTTTACCCCCCTGGCTGGTCTCCTGTTGGAGGAAGTCAATGTCGCCGGGAATCCTTTGTGCAATATTGAGAACTATACAGACTCTTTAAGAGCAGTGCTTCCCTCCCTGTCCCCCAGCTGAGGTCAGTTACCCCCGGGGGACGTGGTCCCTACACCTGGTCCAAAAATATGTCGGTGCTCCGAGATGTCAGACACAGAAATCAGAGAGGGGAAAACTTACAAAACAAAATGTGATATATTTCTGTTTAATTATTAATGATCAGTATTTAATAAATTAATTTACACTTATGATGATTTGTTGTATAAAAGTGATTTTATAATTTCTGTTTCATTATGTTAGTGCCTGGTAAAAGATTTTGAAAATTATATTTAAGAAAAGATTTGAGGAAAATATATTTGAATGTGGAGAATGGGATACATAATAATTCTTCTTTTTTGAAGTAAATGTAAATGAAATTTACATGTAGTTAATGATATAACAAATGTGTAAATTCTATGAGGATGACTTCATGTTAGTATGGGAAATGTACTATACTCTTATAATTTTTTGTATGTGCATGTATACTGTATGCAAGCTAGTAAAGAATTTACAGTATTTACTGTAGTTGTGCAATATCACAAATAGAAATAAAACTGAAACTATAAAATCTTCATTTGTCATGATTTCAAGTACTGACAGAATTGTCAGTATTGTGAAGTTTCAGTTTTGGCCAGTAGTGTTTATGAGGAACATGTCAAGCCTCTCTTTTCTTAAGTGCTTATGAAGAAGGGAGGGATATTGCCTTGCTTCTGTCTGTCGATCGGTTGGTCTGTCAGTCCACCATCAGTTTTTGTTCATTTTCTTTGCAAAGGTTGCACATATTGAAATGAAATTTAATATACAGATTTATCATAAGAATATCTAGGTCAAGTTCTGTTTTGGGATGATCGAGTCATTTTGAACAGAGTTATGCCCCTTTTGACTTGGAAAAATTGCAGTTTCTGTTCATAGGTTGCACATATTGCAATGAAATTTGGTATACAGATTTATATCATAAAAATATCTAGGTCAAGTTCTGTTTTGGGTATAATTGAGCCATTTTTGATTTAGTTATGTCCCTTTGACTTAAAAGAAAAATCCAATTATTTGCAGTTTCTGATCATTTTCTTTGCATAGGTTGCATAGGTATATTGAAATGAAATTTAATATACATGTACAGAGTACATACAAGAATATCTAAGTCAATATTTGTTTTGGGTTAGATCAAGCCATTTCGGAAAGAGTTATGCCCCTTGAACTTGGAAAAATTCCAGTTATTTGCAGTTTGCGTTCATTTTCTATGCAGAGGTTGCATATATATTGAATTGAAATTCCGTATATAGATCTAGGTCAAGCTCTGTTTTGAGTACGATCAAGCCATTTTTGACAGAGTTCAGTCCCTTGGACTCAAAAAAAAATTTCAATCATTTGGGAGAGGCCTCGGGGGGCATAAGTGTTTACAAACATCTCTTGTTTTATAAGTATTTGGCAAAGACTAGATCTGCTGATCACATAGAATCTGTCGTGTCACATGTTAACTTTTCATATTTTCTTCTTTCTCGAATCATTGAGCTAATTCAACTGCTACAAAGCATTCTCCACTTCAAGCTGAACAGTAAAGTTATAAAAAAAAGAAAGAAAAGTCATAGCTTTCATATTTAATTTAGTTTATAAATACATTAAAACATGCATCATGTAATTAAAATAATAAATTGAAATACATGTACAATGTAGCTTTTTGGTATAAATTTCATAGAATGGCAATAATAAAATACTTCTCTTTTGAATTTTACACTGACTGACTACACCATTCTTTTAATAGTGTAACGGTCCAGAGATTTGACAGATAAGTTTTATACAGAGTTATTGAACCTGATTATTGTTGACATTTGTAGGAGAGTTGAGATGAATTTTTATCTATGTGTTATAGTTACTTGATATTGCAGGAATATGTACTGATTTATGCTTTCATGTAATTGATAGGTGATTATTGACAAGTTTAAGTGATTTACATGAGTTGAAATAGTTTGTGCACATGTTTTGAGTTACGTAGAAATCAGCTGATCATAGCAGTATTGAAGTTGTGGTATTATTTTAGCTTACTTCATGTTTCAGGGACTTTAATTGGTCTTCCGTAGAAGATTAACCATAGATTTATAGATGAAATCATGTTTTCTTGAAGTTTAACTTGTTTTCAGTTAATTATTGGCAGTTTAATGTCCTGTTGTAAACTGGTAG